TCTTCGTATGATGAGCAAAGTTGGGGAAGCGCATGAGGCAGAACGTACTTATGACCAGTTTTTTTTTTTTTTNTTTTTTTTTTTTTTTTTTTTTTTTTTTTTTTTTTTTTTTTTTTTTTTTTTTTTTTTTTTTTTTCCTTCGCTTCCTTCTGTGGCACTTGAGTGAACTATGAACAATCGGAATTCTCATCCTGCTCCGCGACTAATGCACTTTGCTATTGCTTCCTCACTTGCCACCAAGGTTTGATGGATGACAGGAGTTAAAATCCTGCCTGGGTCTGGGATAGTTACTTGGCCTGACCCATGATCAGGGGAATAGTTGGGTGATTACTCTAACGAGTATATGGACTCATCCTGATACAATGACCCATGATACTTGAAAAACTTATACAAGACCCTCGTCTCTGTCTAAGGTCAGACGGGACACTGCTTGCTGCATGATATCCGTTCTTAGATTATCCTTTGCACAGACGCATGATGGGCAGGCAGGGTAACTTACGGATTGACCGACCTATCTTGTATCTATCAGTCTGATGTTCTATCGCAAGGACCATGAGGGTATTGCTGGACGTCATTGCTGCCATCACAACTGGGTCAGGTTTCTGATTATCTGTTAAAGGATTGTCCTAACCTGCAATTTTTTTTCTCATGCGCCAAACATACGATTTTCGACGTCGCTGTACGAGGGAAGACGTGCGATCTTGTAGCGGATCGGCCTTGCCGAACACGTTCGGGCAATTATCCCACCAGCATCTCACGTTCACGAGTATTCCGTTCAGCTGCGTATCAGAGACACGGTCGGGGTTCAACCAAGGGCTGGCTACTCCACCTGGTACCATGGGTACGCCCCCCCTAGAATTAGAGGAGCTACAGGACAGGATCATAGTAATTGAGAAACACATTACTTTCCTCTTTGATGCACTGATCAGGAGGGGCGACCCGCCGACCGTCGACCCTGATTTCTACTACGAAGCACCTTCTGAGGATGATGCCCGAGATGCCAGACACTGGGCAGCGTCGATTTTTTCTGAGATTTATGATGAACACCGGGGCCTCTTGCGTAGAATTGAGGAAATTCTGCATCATCCCGAGATCCATGAACTAGATACTATGCACCAGCTAATGCGAGCCAGCCTACCTTCTTCCCCCAAATACAACGTACGGTCATTATAGCCGTATTTGAGGCATCTTTCAGTCTAGATACAGCTATAATGACCCTACGTTGTATTCGGGGGAAGAAGGTAGCCCTCCGCCATGAGATCAACTTAATCAAGCATGGGACAACGAGGAACAGTCCGGCAAATCCTGTCCATATTCCGTACTTCCCCATATGGATGATGAACTGTCTATTATACTTTTTGTTTTATTTTGTCAGTTTTATCACCATCGAGCAAGTCCTGAATTCGGCCACATGAGAGGAACAGTCTGTTGCTTGCGTTTCTTGTAATCGTTTGTCGTTTCACGAAAGAAAGGGTCTTCATGGCTGGATCGATGATTGAAGGTTGCTTGGCCCTATGAGGCAACCACATAAGTCCGGGTGCGGCATGTGAGCCATGGCATGAACGGTCGTAAAGGGTCTTCATGGCTGGAACGATGATTGAAGATTGCTTGGCCCTATGAGGCACACACATAAGTCCGGGTGCGGCATGTGAGCCATGGCATGAACGGTCGTATTGCAGCTTGCTGTGAGGTGCGTGGAGTTTTTTGCCATGGGTACTGTAGGGTGACACACACCCCCACACAACCTCCCCCTACTGCACAACCTGCAGAATCAGATGATATGATAGTGCTACAGCGAGGCCATTGTGTGTACTACGCCATTAATGTATGTCTTCTAGTGTACAGTTGCAACCCGTATCCTATTTCTGATTTTGCAGACATTGTCCGCTCGATAGAAGTACAGCATCGTGCTGTTTGCCCAAAGGACGACAGTACTGCAGGTGGCGTGAACATAGGAGTCCTGTCCACGCCATTTATGGGTAGGCGGCTGCAACTCCAGCCTACTGCACAGAATCACATGCCACACGTGACACATGGATCCGAACATGCGTGCATATCATACTTGCAAGCAGACGGACCGAACGAGCATCCGGTCCGGTCCGCTTTGCCGCGTGCGGCACCCTCCCCCCGGACCGGACGGACCCGGACCGGACCTGACGGGGGCGGTTTTCTTTTGGGGGGGGGGRGGGGGAGCGTAACTGGTCGTCGGGCGCACATTCGTGCACCGCGCGGGTCCGGTCCGGCGGTCTGCCGCACGTGCGGAACCGCCCGGACGGCGTCCGCTTGCAAGTATGGTTCATATATCTTATATCGTCCAGGCCATTTCAGTGCTTTTACCATTGCGGATAATTCATGGACCCTATGGGACAATGGCGGTAGGGTGCGCACAACGGGAAATATTAACTCTTTCTATCTCCAAGCGGTAGAATATCACTCGGGCTACCTTGTCCATCAGGAACACTATGTTGTGGTGCATGCACTTGCAAGCTCTACAACCTCCGGAGAGCAATCTGGATGAATCTTCTGCTTCCCCTATGCATGGCCAGGTAGCGTCCTCTCCCTGTGTAGATCGGACAAAGTCTGGGGTCTCCTGACCTTCGCCGGGAAAGAGCCATTTGTATCTGAACTTGCCAGAGAGACTCGCAGTGACCATTGGTCTGGCTTGTCCATACAGTACGGTTAGCATGCACACAGCATAGGGCCAGATCCCACTGCAAAGAGGAATGGAACAAGTGTCTGAATCTGGATGTGTTCCACACACACATGCAGAAAAGTAGATCAACCACAATTTTTCGCACCTGTCCTCAAACACGTCCACATTCGGACACTTCCTACAAACCTCTTTGCCAGTGAGATATCACCCATAGTCTCTGCTCTAAACACTACGAAGGGATGGTCACTGCCAGTCTCTCGCAACTCCAGAAACAAATGGCTCTCTCCTAAAACAGTGGTTTCCTAAAACAGTGGTTGCCTGAAAAGCTCTTCCTTGTTCTGCATAGGGGAAGGAGGAGGTTCATCCGGATTGCCAACTGGATTTTTAATTTTATTATTATTATTATTATTATTATTATTATTATTATTATTATTATTATTATTATTATTTTTAAATTTAACTTCAGACCATCTGGATTTACTATCCATCTGGATTTTTTTATTTTTATTTTTACTTCAGACCGTCTGGATTTAGATCATTTAGTACTATTTATTACTTCAGACCATCTGGATTTAGTATCCATCAGATTCCATCTGGATTTTTTATTTTATTTTTTTACTTCAGACCATCTGGATTTACTATCCAAGCATTGCAAAACAGTGATTGTCTGCTGAAAAGCTCTTCCTTGTTCTGTTTTTTTTTTTTTACCTTCAGCGGGAAGATTTCCTCCTCCGGAAAGATAACCTAAGTTCTCCTCTATTTGATGTGCCCCCCTGTTTTACGCTCTGCATTGCCCAAGATTTGCTCGTTACCCAGAAAGAATCTGACATGTTGCTAGTAGGGCTAGTGTAAGCAGGGAATTGCTTTAGTCCCTCTAATGCCAGCGGTCTCCAAGGCAAGGTCGGGCCAGTCATCACCTTAAAGATCCACTTTGTTGGGTCGAAAACCCGTAAACCACTTTGCTACTTCTTGCAGGTCATGCAATTCCATGCCACTTTTCTGACAATTTTTTTTCTTAGAAGGGTCTCTGTGAAAGGATTTCACTCTGCACAGGTCCCGACTTCCGGTCCCAGAGTCCTTGTTGGGCCTAGTCCCAGATGGTACCAGGCCTACTAGGTCCCAGGAGGTCGAGTCCCAGGGTCGGTAGAGTCCCGTAGGGGTCCGTAGGCCAAAACTACGCAGTCCTGTAGAGTCCGATGCCGAAGCGTCGCAGGTTGGTACTTGTCTGCAGGTGCTGACGAGGAAAGCCAAGTCCCAAAGTCCAATTTTGCAGCAGCGTCCCAAGGAAGTCCGGAGACATCGGGAACAACAAAAAACATGCAGCAGACTGGCCGTGGGTGACCAGTACCGTTCTGAAGCAGGCAGTTCGAGTCAGCAACTCCTATTTATAGCTGCTCCAGTGCCGAAGGCGCACTAGTTGTTCATTCGCAAGTTGCGGAAGCGCTGCTGGTTGCTTGTGCGATAGGTCGACTTGGGCAAAGGGTGGCGCTGAGGGAGAAGCAGGCAGCCGGCGAGGGAGGAGACAACCATAGCTAGGTTTAGCAGGCAGAAGAAGGCGGCCATAGCCGCAGAGGCTGAGGGGGTACATCGCGGGTGTATTCTGGGTACATCCAAGTAGGGAGATAGATAGATAGATAGATAGGTAGAGAGAGAGAGAGAGAGAGAGAGAGAGAGAGAGAGAGAGAGAGAGAGAGAGAGAGAGTACAGCAGAGAGGTTGAGCGAGTCAAGACACAGAGTGAGGGAGGGAGAGGGAGTCACACCAAAGGGGAAGGAGTCCGTTACAGACCTAATTATCGGAAGTTGGGAGTCGGGCGCGGCACATGCCTACCGGGTTATTAGACCCCCTCCGACGCGAATGAATACAGACACGTGCGGTAGGCCGATTTAACGCCTAAAAACGCGGTAGGTACTGGTAGCTTAACTTGGTGTAACATGTTGAAGCCTGCCTGACTTTTAAAACTCCTCTTCCTGATTTATTGTTCTTGTTCTTGTTCTTCTTCTTTTCCCTTTTCCCCTGACAATTACCTGAACCCAAATACTAGGGGAGGTCATGAGAGCATCCCTTGCTGGGCCCCTACCGTCTTCACCCGAATATAACGCCCGGTCATCATAGCTGTATTGGGCACAACTTTCCGCCCCGATACGGCGATAATTACCGGGTGTTCTATTCGGGTGAAGACAGGAGTAAGAGTTTGAGACTTTGAGTGGCTCCAGTCTATTGGTGGGGAGCTATACCTGCTGGAAAGCGGGTCCAGCGTCCCCTTTAATACAAATATGCTTTGGAAAACTGGGAGTCCTGATTTATCGTTCTTGTGGGGCCTGTGTGGTGAATTTGGCATAATGCAGGGTCTTGGCGAACCGGTTTTGAAGCCATTCCTCCAGGTAAAAGGAAATGATAATCTCATGTCTTAATTTGAAAATAGAAGCAAAAGAGAAATTTAAAGATCATCAGTCTAAAGTTCTCTAAACAAAGGCTCCCCCCTCCCCACCCTGCCAAGGGTGCTCTACATCTGTCAGATCACGGTGTATGTGCCAATCATCCTCTGAGTTTTGAGACTTAGCTGGAGGACCTGTGCAGTCAATCCCCTGTATTTCAGGGTAATCAATGCTGGCAGGATTTTGCATTAGCTTTTCTGGTTTTCTCTAAATGCAATCTGTATATGGGATGCTGGACCCGTTTTCCAGCAGGTGATGCTCCCCACCAATACATGGAGCCTCTCCCCGGGTGGTAGTGGTGACTGCTCTTATCAGCACCACTATCACCGGAGGTGTGTTAGGTTGTTGACGTTGTGACCTTTCGCAGTTCTGCTATCGGTGGCCAATGCGCAGACGAACAAACAAACAATCAGAGAACACGGAAAAGAGAAAAACGAAACCGACCTCAAACGTGGCCTTTTGAGGATCAATCATCCAACTGTAAGCTGCCTCTGGAAAGGACGCACATTTTCCTATCTTTGTGAAAAAAACACAGTAATTAGAGTAATGCCAATCCAATCAGACAGCCGATGACATTGTTTGCTTCTCCACGCTAGCTCAGTAGGTTTTCATGCCTGAGCGGCACCGCGTAGGTGCTGGGTTCTATTCCCGTTGCCATCACTTTCAGTGGCCTGAGAAGGATTGGTGGCCACGGCCAGTCACACTGGTAAATCGCTGGGGCGAGTTGTGCCGCCCTATAACCCATTGCAATGCGGGAGCATAGGGCCGAGTGGAAGTGGCTGCTCAGGTCCTGCTGCGGCCGGTCGGGACACACCCAATAAAAGGGCTCTCAGGTTGAGTTCTCAGTTGTGTTTTTTTTTTTTTTTTTTTTCCTCAGTCAGAATCATCATAGCTGACATGCATAATTACGATGCTTATAGACCCTCAATTTCACGATATTTCCAGAGTGTTAAAAAAAAAGAAACTCTCAAGATACCGGTCACAACATAAGCTCAATAAGGAAGCTCAATAAGTCATGATCATGACATATAATCTACAATAATAACTTCCATAATAATCTCGAATTACCCGGGGCCGGGTCACCTGTGGTCCTGTGGATATATCTCAAGACTGCCGCCCTTTCAAAAAAAAAAAAAAAAAGGTGACATGAGTTGCATCTGCTAAGGATGTAAGGAATATTGGTGCAATGGTCCCGCATGTTCACTCTGCGTTTCACACCAGCACGAGTTCATGCTTCGTCAAACAAGACTTCAAAAACGATGAACACCGACACATTTTGAGGATGCTTTGGAAATTGCTCGCAAATTTAAGTCATATACAACGTCTTGTGTATGTACACTTGGCGGCTATGGCTGCCATACAATTCGTGCAGCTCTCTCTCTCTCTCTCTCTCTCTCTCTCTCTCTCTCTCTCTCTCTCTCTCTCTCTCTCTCTCTCTCTCTCTCTCTGTGCCAAAACTACGCAGTCCGGTAGAGTCCAGTGCATGCACGCACACACGCACGCACGCATGCACGCACGCACGCACGCACACACTCTTTCTCTCTGGATGTCTTCCTCTCACTTGGTATCTCCTCTCGCTCTCTCACTACTACTAGCTATGGCGTTGGGCGCCGTCGACTATGCTACTCCGTCTCTCAGCCTCAGTCGCTGCTTGTCTGCACAAGACCGCAACAGCGCCTCTGCAACAGGCACGGATCAAATTGTGTTGAAGCTTCACGGCCGCTCAACTTTTCCTATCTTGAACTTCGCCATTGCCGGTACCTTTCCTTGCGGCTGCGGTCAGCCTCTGATGCTTCTGAAGTTTTCACCGACTTTCTTGGACTGAGATGCAATCGACTGGTGAACTGACAGGTCTTTATATATATATACGATATATACATATATAATACTCTAAACTACTGGGCCTACTGGCTCCTAACGACCTGCCTACCTACCTGTATGAGCCTACAGGCACACCGACGTATTGTGCATCCTACCTATAACTACCTACCGTCCTACAGTACCATCCTACCGGAAGGGGTTACTGTACATGGGGCACTGGGACTCAGAACTCAGACTGGGACTCTGAGATATGTGAAATCCACTCACTTCCGGCGGCCTATATTCGAGGTCCTCCAAGAAAGTTGATTCCTTTTTATCTGTCTGTAATGCGGTTTCCCCTTCTAGCTTGTTCATAATGTGAAGACAATCCTTGGGGGCGGTCTTACTTAGCTGGTCAGAGGGTCTCCTGGACAGCAGGTCAGCCCTAAGGAGGTAAAGAGAAGGAGAGAAGGGGAGGAAAAGACGAGGGTAGAGAGAGAGAGAGAGAGAGAGAGAGAGAGAGAGAGAGAGAGAGAGGGCGGGGGGAGGAGGGTAAGGAGGAAGAGGAAGGAGCCAGACAACATGGGAGAGGGGGTGAGGTGCTAGATCAGGTGGTCAAAGGACAGGAGGGATCCCAGGAGGGATCCCAATCCTCAATACAGACTGGCAGCCTGGGGTGACCCGAAAGTGGGATGACAAAGTAGAAACACAGGTGTGCAGGCCCTTTTCATTTTCTGGCAGTCCCATGCTTCCATATCAACTTAGCATCGAGCCATCCGATCCGAGTTCCGCTCACATAGTCGGTGAAACTCCGACGAAACAGTTTGTCACAGCCCCTCGTTTGTTGTCCTCTTCTCCCTCTCTGCCTGCGGTTTACTGGGCAGTTCTATTTGACGATATATATATATAGGTACTTTTCTGTTACCAAGATGTTGCCAAGATGTTCTCACCCTGCACAGTCAATTCCCCCGGGCAACCAGGGGTAATCAATGCTGGCCGAACAATCAATGCTGGCCGAATACTCTCATGTTCGTCTTACGATGGTTTCTTATGTACAGGACGCCGGACCCGTTTTCCACCAGGTGCAGCTCCCCACCAATGGATGAATCCACCAGGGACAGCTACTAGTGGGGGCTGCTCATACCATCCCCCCTCTTCTACTAGAGGTTGCGGGTTTTGTTTTTTCCTTTAAAAAAAAGGGAAAAAAAAAAAGGAGGATTTCACCAGATACGGCCGTCTGTTTCTTAGAATTTGACCCAGCAGAGTGGGCTTGGACCCCTAATGACAACCGTAGCATCAAGACGAAAACACCACTTCAAGACTACACCGTTAAACTCGGATACAGATTACTATTGAAAACCAAGGACCCGGATCCGGTGGTCTTAAGTCGATGGCAAAAACTAGTGGGACAGGAAGCCGACAGAATCCAACAAATCCCTTGGAAGAAATTTGCACGAATTAGACCGGTAAAGATCAGAAGTCTACAATGGTTGATAGTGTACGCAGCCCTACCAGTAAACCAGTGGCTCCACACTAGACGGAGAGCGACCAATCCGGACAGCTCAGACATTTGTACACTCTGCACGACAGGAGTAGTAGAGGACTTAATCCACTGCATGATACATTGTGTAGAAGCGACAGAATACTGGACCAGAGCCTCTCTTCTGTGGGAATCACTCTTTGCATCCCCCTTCCCTCGTCAACCTATCCAATTGCTCCTCCTCACTAACATCCCCACCATATCCCGGAAATCGGAAAGGATCTGGTTCGAACTCATCAGGAAGGTGACGATCTGGGTGATATGGAAGGAGAGATGTTGCAGAACAATCGAAGGGCTTTCCAACCCA